GCACACCCAGTTCTTCTGCGAAACCTCACGGTGCAAGCTGCGGACCCACCTCTTGGCTATCCCGTTTATTCCTCTGAACTTCTGCATCTGCCTTTGCTCTAGAATGTCGGTAGCACTCTTTTTTTTTTTTAATTATTGTTTTGTATTTCCCGTCTGCATGTTGGGAATCAAACATCCATGCTACATTTATACCCTGTACGTAAGATGTTCCTCTTGGAATGACGTTGGATGGCAGTGCCAAGCCGATGTACAGAATTTGCACAGATATGGTGCTGGCTGGAAAAAAGTTTTGAACTGTTTTCTTGCTGCTGGAACATCTGAGACACCATTGCCTATGTGGCTGACGAGCCGAAAGATGCTGAATTCTCTTCTCCAGTTTAGAGAAGAGCAGCATAATTCTGATCATGAACTATTTTTGGTACATTCTGATTATTTTAATTTTATTTTTTTCTTGGACAGGTGACTTGCACTGACAGGTTACAGCTCACTGTAGTACCGTCAACCACAGAGCTGGTAAACAAAGTGTACATATGACTATTTATGTGATTTATTTTTTTTTATTCTGGGCATTTTGTATTGGACTGAGTTCAGTTTTAGCATTTGTTATATGACTTCTGCTGATCTTCCATGGCTGTAGTAAGTTACCAGCTATGCTTTAATGAAGCAAGTTGTAAGGGGCAATTTTTACTGAAGTACTTGTTTTGAGGGCAAAGAGAATTTATATAAAACTGTGTGTTGTGACACATTAACAACCTGTGTCTAATTAGGGAAGAGATTAATCTATCTGGACTTCAATTAATTTTATCTCCTCCTTCCAATATCCATATTTTTATATATATATGTATGTAAGTTGTTTGCAGCCTATGTTTGCATCACTAACCAGTCTTCCACAAATACAGTGAGAACTTGTTGATGTGGGGGGAGGGCAGAAATTCAGCTGTCTGTGCCAGTAGTAGTTTTGGGTTTTTTTAACCTTACTACAGGTTAGACCAGAATTTGGCAATTGGTTTGTCATTTTACGGGTCCTGGAAAACAGGTCTTGGGTCATCTCTCCAGTGGCTCGTTTATCCTGTTTGTTACCACGAGTTATGAGCACGTTAATGGGTTTATCTGCAGATCAGTAGTTACAGTGTGGCTACTGCGGGCAGGTGCCAAGGAGGGTGTAGGGGATTGTCTTCTTTAACCTGTAGAATCTATTTAAATCAGATCTGCTTCGTAACTGAATTAATACTGGTTTACAACACCCAGTGTTGCATAATTTGGAGCATGTTTGTTACTTCTCACCTTTTAGACCTTTTTTGATTCAGATAAAATTTATCACAGGACTGTGTTCTGTGTACTTTGCTATTCACTGTTTCTTTTAGTAACCACAAATTATTTTAAAATAATATGCAAATTGTGTAGTGGAATTCAGAAGTGGTAAGCCAACACCTTTCTAACTCCATGGTGCAACACTAAAAGGTACAAGATGACATTTACACAGAACATTAAATGGAAGCAGCTTTTAGAAGGTGGTTGTTGGGGTAGAGGGGCATAAATGACGAAGTGCTGATAACCTAAACTCACCTTGTTTGGCAATGAACTACACCGGGAAGTACAGAATCCCAGGAACAGATCTGGAAGGGCTTTTAGAGAGCACCTGTTTCAGGTCCCTCTCAAGAGGAACTCCTGGCAAATGTTTAATCTGTTTTAAAACTTTCAATTCCAGGAGTATCAAGAATTCGTCAAGTAGTTTGCTCCACTTCTTTTCTCTTCTTGTAGCAGTTGAAAAGTTGTTTTTCCTAAATCTAATTACACCTCCCTGCCTTACTGTAAGCTTCTTGCTTGCCTTCTGTACAGTCACAGAAATTTTACTTTTTCTTTTCAGCAGCAGTCTTTTATTTGAAGATGGCTGTGATTTCTGCCTTCGTTCTTAGTCTTCTGTAAACTGAATAAACTAGTTGAGAAAAAACTGAAGCAAGCTGCGATCCTTCTCTCTTGCTGGTTCTCTCCATGTGGTGCCCACCCTGCTTGAGGAGTGTTGCTGTAACTGGCCCTGGCGTTCCAGCACCGATCCCGATCGGTACCAGATGGAGGAACGGAATGAGGGAGATGCAGAATTCCTGCTTGCGCACAGGAACGTGGAGTTGGTCTGTGGCGTGCTGTAACATACTGTCCCCTGCTGTAGTGGGCAGTGTGTCCTACAGCCCCGTGTCTGTTAATAGAATGAGCCAGCTCGTACATTCCAGTATGTTTTGCAACAGCATGACCTCGATTCACATTACGATTTTCTGTAACCCTCTTTAGATTCTTTTTTTTTGGCAGAAACGTGAGTTACAGCCTCTTGTTCCGTCTCACAAATTTGTGCAGCTGAGTGCCCCTGTTAAGCGTGGTGTTTCATCTGCATGTTCTTGAACTGTGTCCTGTTTGGTTTAGAGCATTTCTCTGATTTTTCAGGAATTTAGAGCATCTTCAAGCCCAGCCTTGTCTGCAAATCTCAAGGCTGAGGGGAGACCTCATCACTCTCTACAACCACCTGAAAGGAGGTTGTAGAGAGATGGGTGCTGGTCTCTTCTCACAAGTTACAATCTATAGGACAAGTGGAAATGGCCTCAAGTTAAGCCAGGGGAGGTTAGACATTAGGAAAAACTTGTACACTTGAAAGGGTTATCAAAGACTGGAACAGGCTGCCCGTGGAAGCAGTTGAGTCACCATCCCTGGAGGTGTTTAAAAGCCATCTAGCTGTGGCGCTCATGAACGTGGTTTAGAAGTGGGCTTGGCAGGGTTAGATAATGGTTGGACTTGATCTTAAAGGCCTTCTCCAACCAAAATGGTTCAATTCCATGATTCTGTAGGCAAATATATGCTGCTGTTTGGATTACTGATGGAATACCAGTACTGGACTGAGTATCTGGGACTGACCTTGCAACAGGCCAGTTTCCTGGGTGACCACTGAGAATTGCTCTGTGTTTTCCAACAGGGTGTGTCCATCAGCTTTCCTTAATTTTTATCAACACCTACTTGCTTTACAGATGGCCATGTTCATCACACAGAGGTAAGCAATAAGATACCATCATGGCTTAGGAGTACCTTTATTTAATGAGATCAGTGTTAAATCCTTACTAGATTTTCACCCCCTTTTTTGAGTCTTTACCAAAACCAGCCCTGGAGACTGCCTTGTTCACCTACCATAAAGTAACAGGAATCAGTTTAATGGAAAAAAGCATTAGGGAGGTGAAGTTTTCAAAAGGCAAATGCGTTGTGCTTTTTGGAAGTTCTGGTTTCGGCATTTTCCTTGAACATCAGCTTCCTCCCTAAAAGAGCTAATTCTGTCACCACCCAGTCCCTGCCGTGTCTGCTACTGCACCTTCCACACTTTGTTCTCCTGCTGGTGGTGGCCACAGCACAGGCCACGGGGTGGGTCTGTGTTGACAGGCCTAGCAGCAACTGCCCTTAGCTCAAGCAAGAGACGTGATCCTCTTTGAGCATTTTGTGGTAGAAATAAGCAGAGAAACCTGTGTGAGCCTTCTGCCATGAACAACACTGCCAGCTCTTCTGTGGATTAGAGGCTGGAAGCTAAAGCATCCCATGAATATCAGCCACACGCGGGTTGTATTAGGAGTTGCTGCATTTTGGCACGCAGACTTACTGTTGCCTCTTTAGCACATTCCACAAACCACAGTTTGGGAACCGGGGCCACAGCAAGTGAAATGAACTCTCCCTTCTTCCACAACAGTGTGAGACGAGACACTTGACATTTGTGTCTTTAAAAATAAAACAAAACAACTTTGTTAAATGTCATGTTAAAAACATCACTCTTGGCTCATTCTTTGCTATGGCTGGAAAATTTCAATAATTTGTAAATAGGTTGTGTGTCTTTTATTGTCACTCAATGACATGCGCAAGAATTTTTTCTTACCTAGACAGTGTGGGGCCTGAGGTACGCCCAAATGGTTCTGAAGCCTCTGACGGCAGCAGGAAAGTCACCAATTTTGTAAGTACAGATGAGTTCCTACTATGGGGGTTACTTTCAGGAAATGGTTGAATTGAGTGTCAAGGAGTGGTTAATGTCTTAAAATGTACAGTCCTCTGTTCCTCCTGGCTGTCTCTGTCCTGTACACCGCCAGTGACTGCTGCGATCCGCCTCTGTTCTGTGGAACCACCTGCTTCTGCCTGAGCTAGGAACTCGGCTTGTATCTTATGCTCAAGTTGCCAGTGATGAAGTTGGTCCTAATTCGTCCTCTGCCACCAGCACTGGTGTCTCAGCTGTAAGCAATGTGCTGTGAGATGGAGTTCTCGCTACTACTGTGCCCCGTGTTAGCTGGAGGCTGTTCTGCTCCAGGAACTCTCCCCTGCTCCTCTGACTGTGGTGCCAAGCTCAGAGTGAGGTGAGCACTGCCTGCCACCGGGGCTATGATTATTCCATCACTCTTCCCTCCCCACCTCAGCTTTTACAGACAACTCGGCAGCAGCACTGAGACCTAAAGCTTAAGTACTTCTAAACATATTGCCAGAAGGTCAAGGATTTAGTCCTAAATGGACATTTTGCTCTCAGGTCACCTGTATGGCAAAGAAACAATCTCCTTTCCCAAAGGAGCACTTCACAGACACAGACTATATATCCTTCCACAGACTATATATCCTTACTCTTTGTAACACAGGCTTCTGTTTCTGGGTTTGTTTTGCTCTAAGTCCATTAGGAATGAAAGCGAGGGAAGCAAGATCCTGCAGGTGTATAATTTTCAGCCTGCTCACCACAGCTTTGCCAATGTCAGAGCAGCAGAAAACCAAAATAATAGAAGAATGGAGACAGAGGAGGCCAGCTGCCAAGTGTAAAAATGCAGCCTATGGGAGTTTGACATGAAATAGGTATGTTTAAAAAGCAATTTTTATTTAGTCAAGTGTATATAAAGCTTGATAGATTTGTCAAGTTACATGATGACAAAGGCACAACAGATTAAAAAAAAAAAAAGTCAGCTTTTGTTTGCAGTCACACAATATGAAAAATGTTTCTCAGCCTTAGCACAAGCACAGCAGGATTTTGTACACGCTTGTCCTTACTTCTTCTTTCTTGAGTAAGAAGCATCTGCATCCTGGAGCGAGAGTACATTAAATCAGTATTCCCCCCCTTATTTAAAAGCCCTTCACCCACAGTGTTATTTCCCTTGAAGCAGCCCCTGACAGCAGGCAGTTTCAGTGTGCAAGTAGCAAGTTTTAAGCTGCATATGCCACCCTTATTTTTGCATTTCCTGCTTTTGGAGTCTTTGACACAGTGTTTTGTACCAAGTTCAACAAAAACACAGTAAGAATAAATACCACCTACCCCGGGGCAGTGCAAGGACAGAACACTGCATGTCTGCCTTTGGGGATGTAAATGTGAGTGAAGAGCCCTGACACATGGGGGTGCTGCTTATCCTACCCCGCAGAGGGATGCCCGAATAAAAGCAAGACCCAACCAAGGGAGAGATTTTCAACAGTCAATTCCAAATTGCATTAAATAATTTGTACTAGTGACTTCTAGCTCAGCATTAATGGTGAGTTCTGAACTTGGAGCCTATGTGATGAAGATGAGAGCAAGATCTTTGGTGCTACACAAAGTACTGACTGCCCTGCGCTGTAACTGCGCCGCAGTAATTCTAGACGGCTGGGCACACAGCGATGGGAGCCTGGCCGGGCATCGGCTGCTGGGCAAGCGAGCAGGGGGGAAAAAGAAACAGATGCCACATGCAATCTCGACATTCCTGTGGCTAAAGAGTCTGTCAACGGAGTCAAAAATAAACTCACCAGTCCACTCTTAAAGTTCTGTATCCTCCTCCTGCCCATTCTGTTTGTCAGCCACCAAGCCCACGTGGGTGCATATTGCCAGAGGTAGCACACGGCCAGGTAGGGGTTGTCGCTGACCCAGGCCTCCTTCAGGTCGTTGGCCACGCTCACCAGGGTGAGCCGCGCGCAGCGGTCGGTGGGCATCTTGTGGGACTGGTCGCCACTGTTCTCTAAGGACTGGAGGAGAGAGCGAGCGAGGAGGGATTAGAGGGGCTCTGTCTGTGAGCCATGGAGGGAGAGAAAGGGCCAGGCTCTGTGCGACACGCAGACTCCGCCCAGTTTCTCCCCGGTGCACAAGTGGAATAACGCAGCTGGCGCAGCAGGGACCAGGGCTGGAGAACCCCTCCCTCGCTCTCCTCCAGCTTTCAGTGAGGGAACACTCACCACCTCCCTTTGGCACACACGCTTAAATAAAGCACCTTTTTAATTAATGTCCTGGTTGATGAGTCAAAAGTTTAAAAAACAAACAAACAATAAAAAACACCCCCCCAAAGTCTGTCCTGCTTCAGCACAGCCTCCACTTTATCACGACATAGATTCATCAGCAGAGGTTACCCACCCTGCAGCTGAGGGCTCTGAGAAAGGGAACTTTCCTCTTCCCAGCTGCCCCCCTCAGTATATGCTGCAAGTTACTCAGTAACCAAGTCAGTTGATGAGGCCACCTTCCCCATTAACGTAGATTTCTGCCCTGTGGGCAGCCAGCTCCAACAAGAGAAAAGCAAGAGGCCCCTCCGGTGACTGGGGTGTCCATCTTGAAATCACGTCCTCATGTATTGCTCAGTGACCGTAAGCCCCAGCCCTGTGAATTCACACACATTTCACTCCAGCAATAACAGACTGCTCTATCAATCTGTTCTTCTGTTTCCCAGGGTAAAAGCAATTCTGGTCTTCTTCCTGGCTCTTCTGCCATGCTGAAATCTGAGGCATTTGTTTTGCAAGCTTTCCAGATTGCTCAAAACAGTACAGCTTTTCTTTCACGGGCATGCGAACTTATGCAAGCAAAAACTTCTTTCAGGACTCGATTCAACAATGGGAGATTTCCCCATCCCCCTTGCACCCCTCCCAGTGTTGGGCTGGCCTGAGCTTTAAATTGATTGAATTTAGGACGGATTACAGTTTGATGTATCATAGTAGCAATTTTTGCCAGCTCCTTTGTTAGCCAGCCTTTATGAAAAGCCATTGTGCAGTTGGAAGGTTTTGCTTTTTCTCCTTGAACAATCACTAACAGGAAAAGAATGCAGCCTCGCCTCAGCTGACTCTAGTGGCTTTGCCAACAACAGCGTCAACCGAACAGGGGACATCGTGACTACGACAAACAAAGCGCTACCTGTGCAGAAAGGAGAGCGTTCTGCATGCAGAGTTGTGTCCAGAAAATCCTGGCCTTTCCCCCAAAACTGCAGCAGGGTGGCTGTACAGTGAACTTTACTAGGCTCGGGCTTGCATGTGTTGGAAGAGGGAAGGCATAACAGTTCTCCAACTCTGTTTTCATTTCGCATGGGCTTGATACCACAGAGAATTCCAGGACTAGACATAGCTCTGCACCAATCAAGGCATTTCTTGCTAAGAAGATGAGGTCAGTGTTTGCTAGGAGGAGAAAAAGAAAAGCCAGCCACAGAAGGATCCCTGGCCCTGCAGCAGAAGTTGGATTTATCACAACAGAACCGAGTCCTCACCTTTCCAAGATTCTCCGTGAAGACATTTTGTATGATCTTAGACTGTACCGGTCCTGGGCAGATGTTGATAATGCTTATCTCGGGGTAGTCGGTCAGCTCAGGCCGAAGAGAATTAAAAAAACCCTAGAAGAAAAGACTATATTGTAATCTTCATTTGCCAGGTTTCTGCATGTAGCAAGGTTTAACTGGCTATTTTCATGCTAGTTCCATGGTGTAATGGTAATGGTATTCCACTAAAAGCAATTCCTACAACTTTGACTTTTCACATTCAATGGCTAATTAAAACATGTATCTGCAATTATAGACACTGGTATATACATCACTGAGGAATCTAGCCCTGACTTCTTAAACACACAGTAATTTCTCTAAACTACAGCCAGATTCTGCTGTCCCGGGACTGCAGACATAAGAACTGCAATACTCTGAAAATTATCTTTTTGCAGCTGAATTGCTCTTTGTGGTGAGATTCAAGATTTTAAATTGTTTCTATTGAGTAAGTGGCACTGGTTTTATATGTGAGAAGGAGAAAAGCTGTTCAGCGTATTAAGTCAAAAGGGTGCCCCGATATTTTAGGGGATTATTCTGCACTACTGAATTCACTGCAGAGTTTGAAATTTGCATCTACACAAATCAAAACCTTACTTCAGCTCAGGAGTATGCTACCCGTGTACCTAAGTTAAACTACATTAGAAAAGCTGCAAGTGTTTCTCTTCTTTAGGCTAACAGGACGCAAGTTTTCTTAATCTCGGCAGCAATTCACATTTAGACAACTATTATGAGCAACGTAACCAGTTCAGGAAGGTGCTTCCTACCAAAGTTGCTGGTAGAGCTATGACAGCAACCACCACATCGTGTCTTACCTTCGACCTGGTTAATAACAGCTCCCTGTATTTACTCTGACACATAATTTTGTGTCACATCAGAGACAGAGCATGAGCACAGGCTGACAAACTTCTCCCACTGTAGTAAAAATTGATAATTTGCACTCCCGCACAGCTGGGGAAGAGGGCTGGCTGACCCAGAGCTTTTCACTAAATTGCAACGCAGGGCTCACATCAGTCAGACACACTTCTGTGATGACAGAGAAGTCACTCAGCTGGGGCAAACCACGGCAGCTGGCAGCAAGCTGCACTCCTGTGACGGAGAACATGGGCCTTAACTTCCCAAATGCTGGTGACTAATTCCAGTTTATAGATTGCACGCGGGCTTTGCGGTGAGGTTCTGTAAAAGTGCTGACCATGTATTTAAAGTCCCTGTCTCTTGTAGCAGATCTTCACAGCATGTTACTAAAGCCTGGAGATGTGCAGACATTCACGTGCTCAGATGTCTGCTTCTGGGGGCATCAGAAAGTATCTCAGATCTGCCAACCATCCAGTTGTCCTGGATTAAGAACCCGGGCCCTCCCTTAGATTACCTCCTGCCCTGAGAGGAGCCTCCCCCGCCCTTGGTGCACACCTCCAGATGTGACACCAGTACAGCTGTGCTTTGCCCACCTCTCTAGGGTAACACTGCAGCCCTGACCTGCACTTCCCTCCCTTCCCAGAGGGGTCCTGAGCCCGCTTATCTCAGAAAAGCCACTTGACCCCCAAGCTGCCCAGTCCTGTCACAAAAGCTGTGCCACCAGTCCAGCTGAGGAAAAAGGAACAAGTAAAAAGACACCAGGCCCCAAAAGGGAGAGGGAAGCAGTTTGTCACAAACATGGCCACTCGGGTGAGGGGAGACCTTATCAGTGTCTGCACGTATCTAAAGGGTGGGTGCAGGGAGGATGGAGCCGGACTCTTTTCATTCGTGCCCCATGACATGGCAAGAGGCAAAGGCACAGACTAAAGCACAGAAGTTTCATCTAAATACAAGTAGGAACTTCTTTACTGTGAGGGTGACAGAGCCCTGGCACAGGCTGCCCAGGGAGGGGGTGGAGTCTCCTTCTCTGGAGACTTTCAAAGCCCACCTGGACGCGTTCCTGTGTGACGTGCTCTAGGCAATCCTGCTTTAGCAGGGGAGCTGGACTAGATGATCTCTGGAGGTGCCTTCCGTCTCTGAGGATTCTGTGAGGGAAGACGTGGTACTGCTCCACGTATGTGTGAGCATCTTGTATCCTATTCACTGCAGCAATGTCAGGAAGCCCAGGCTCTCCTAGAGACACACGCAGCCATCTGCCCTCTTTTGGGCAACTGCAAGCTCTTCCATCACCACTGAACAGCACGAGGCAGGCTAAGTGAGAGCTATCCCGGCCCACGCTCCCTCACCACTCCCTGTCGATTTGGGCTGGTGAGGAACAGAACTGACTCCCATTTTGCCTGAAGGAGACAAACTCAAGCTGCACTTCCAGGAGTCGAGGAGGTGAAGGGTGTGTGTCTGGAAACGCCGTGATAGAAAGAGAGCCAGAAACTCAGTCTCTTGTAACAAAGCACCTACACCTGCTCAAATCCTGAGACGTTCCTGGGATCCAAGTTCTACCTAAAAACGGGGACCTGCCCACAGTCCTGAGTAGCTACACACAGCAGCAGCCAGCTCTTCAGTGCAACTTCAGTGACCTCCCTGGAGTGGGCACCGGCTCTGGCACGCTCCACTCCAAGGATTACAGAGGGAGCCTCGCCGACCTGAGCAGGTTGCAAGACGTCAAAAGCTGAGTGTTGGTCCAGAGAGCTTACAGGATCTCTGCAGACCCTGTCTGCACAGCAACCGAGTACAGGGCTGCTGAAGGTCTCTCCAGAGCTGTTGGAGCAGCTCTCTCAAAGCTGCTGCGGGCACCGGCTCTGGCACGCTCCACTCCAAGGATTACAGAGGGAGCCTCGCCGACCTGAGCAGGTTGCAAGACGTCAAAAGCTGAGTGTTGGTCCAGAGAGCTTACAGGATCTCTGCAGACCCTGTCTGCACAGCAACCGAGTACAGGGCTGCTGAAGGTCTCTCCAGAGCTGTTGGAGCAGCTCTCTCAAAGCTGCTGCTATTTCATTAACGGGTTGCATGGGCCATAAACGTGAAATGCATGTAGCCAAAGATCACAGCAAGCTCCTGTTTCTGCTCTGTGGCCATTCTGCTGACCCCTTCCACTTCCAGGGGTTTGTGAGTCCCCTCCTTCCCCTGTGCTGCAGCTCCAAGTTTTTATACCACGGAAGAGATCTAATCTTCACTGGGAACAGAGGATGGCCAGGCCAGCTTCTCAACTGAAATCCTGGCTGATACACACTCAACTGAGCCTCCTGAAGACCAGAATCTTACACACTCTCAGTCCCCTCTGGTGGCTCAATCTACACTATGTACAGGTTCTCTAATTACAGCATTTTTCTTAAGATACCCAAAGGTAAATGGTATGAAATTCCTCCACTTCCTCCCAGAAGAGAAGCTTAAAATTCCTAAGAAAAAGAAAGTGTTCTCTTTTCTTTAAATTCACGCCGGGGGCAGACCCAGAGTGAGGAGCAGTAAAGGAACTGCCAGGGGAAGAATCTGAGTGTTTCCACTCAGCCCCGACTGAAGCCAGCTCGAACATACACCCCCAGAACATGTGGAACAGGAACAGCTTTAAGCCGTCTCTGGGCCTTTCCAGCTTAGTGACCAAATCCTAGAAGATGCTGAAGACAACAAGGCTGAACTGACTTCTACTATGGCAGCAACATTCAGAAATCCCCCTAGTGACCAGGGGACTGAACAAAGAGAGTAGCACTTGCTGCTCAGGGTGGTCCATGTGCTTATTAGACAAGTTCCCGATTAAGGAACACTTTGAAGGCTACCGATTACATCAATTACGTCCAGATGAATGCCACATGATCTCCGTAAGCATCATCCCACTAGGAGAGAAACAGCATCAGTCAGATGCAGACTCCCGTGGACCTGACTCATTCTCTTACAGCACTCCCAGAACTGAAATAAAGGGTAATTTCATCAGCAGAACATTGTTATGAAGAATTCCAGTTGGCATGAAGCAAAGTGTGATTGTTCCAAGAACAAATTTTAATCCTTAGCACAATTTCTTCCTTCCTCCTCCAACTGCCACTTAAAAGGAATTTAAAAAAAAATAAAGAAGAAAAAAGACAGGAGGGACTTTTTTTAAATGTATAATTAAGATTGCAGCATTAACTGCATCAGCTGTGGCAGACCCCAAGGCATGAATTTAAAAAACCAAACCCCATAATAGCTGAATTCATGTCAGATAGGCTCACATATTCAGTGACTGGTGGCCAAATTGCAATCCTTTCTAGAAGATCTTAAAGGCTGATATGTGCTGGGGAAACACAGTGGAACAAGTGTCACTTTATACTTCATCTTGCTCTTCCCCAAGCCCCTCTCAAGCCATTTCTCCTTGGTCATGGTCAGAGACGGGCTCCTGGGCTATCTGAAGAGGACTGACATTCCTGCAGACTTCCTTTACCTGACCCATACTAGCAAAGTTTGAAACTTTCAAAAAGCTTTACTATTTTTAGGGGGTTTCATGTCCATATCTAATCATAACTCCAGACTGATACGAGACTCCCAGACAGAGTCTTTTCAAAATCTCTACTGCAAATCACACGGTTTTAACACCTGCAATTAGTATTTGATGAATTACTGTGAAAGAAAGAAGAAAGAAGAAAGGAAGTTTGGAGTCTGGCCTGGTTGTTGAGCACAGCTAGAAGCTAAAAAAGATACAAGTGATCCAATTCATTTAATTAATCCAGAAATTTTAGTACACTACCTCTTTAAAGCATCATCCATGTTCTCAGTGTTAACATGAGATTCTGGTTTGAGAATTTTTAAAGCAACACGTGAATTCCTTGTGCTCTGCAACTAATTAGCCATGCTGAGACCAACTATGCCGCACCCAAAAAGATAATTCAACCGAAAGAACACTTCATAAAGGAGCATCAAGGGAATTCATGCTTCTGCTCATTGCACTCTTCTCCTTTAAATCTGCTAGGCTTAAATCAAAATCTGACCTCTCATGGGCAATTTCATTGCTGCCACTTGTAAAGGGCAGCAGATCCCTGCCTGTCACTAACTGAAAAATGTTCATTAGCAGAGGCCTGACACTGTCTCCTGCATCTTCATTCTTTCAAGTGTCTTGTGGCCTTGCAGCATCAACCACTTGTTACAGTTTTGTTAGTCAAATTGTCAAAAATATATCGATCCCATGGCTTAAGCAAAGTTACATACTGTCTTTATGTGCTTAAATCCAGCAGGGAGTAAGGAGGTGCCAGGTTTCTGACATCATCACTGAGCACAGCTGAAGTTTATTTTACCGAGATCAAAACGTTCGCTAGCAGGGAGTCAAACAGTGGTGAAAGACAAATATGTCTAAATAAATTTACTAATTAAACAAATGATTCCTCAATGATACCAGCTTTCCTTTTGCCTCAGATACCTTCCCAAGCTTTTGTTTTGTGTTTTTCCACACAAGTGAGACTACTTTCAAACACTCTTTCCAAGCAATACTAAAAAATTCAGTGTTACACAAAGATAACCTCCTAAGACACAACGAGTGGCCAGTTCTTCACACCATAGCAAGCTTCAGAAGATTCGTTCAGATGTTCTCAGCCAGATGAGGAACTCTCATTCTCTGAGCAGTCTGCTTGACCGCTCACTGCTCTCCCTTGACTGTCCTGAAGATTTCCTGCAGTCTTAAAACTCTCTCACCAGTGACTTTCCTCCTTCACCGAATTCAGATGAGAACAATAGGGCTCTATATGCAGTAGAATAATCCTCTTGGTTTTCCTTCATCTGAAGGCCAGAGTCCAAAACCTTGGATTTCAGACTGTAATTTTACTATGTAGGGGTTAGGACCAACTAAAATGGCATTTGAATTTTAGCTGGGAAAATAAATCTACACTGGGAGCTGAAATATTTCACGTTTCAGAGCAAATTAATTTTAAAGGACTTTCAAAACACGAGAAAGCCACCTAGGCTGTGTGCAATTTCAGGTGAGATTTGTGTTTTGTGCACAGAATAAAGTCTTCTGCTACGGTACTAACTGATGCTGGTCTGTTACACGACAAGAGTCAGTTAATCTCAGAAATCAAACTCACCTGCAGAGCGTGCTTGCTGGCACAGTAGCCGGTGGCAAGAGGAGCTCCCATGATACCCATCACGCTGCTCACAGTGACAATCTTCCCTCTTCTCCTTTGGATCATGTGATTCAGGACGTACTTTGTTAAAGAGATGGTACCGAGGTAGTTGAGCTCCATTATGGCACTGTAGACATCCAGGTTTGTATCCACGAAGAGAGAGCGTTGGGAACGTCCACCATTGTTGATCAAAACATCAATCTCAGCAAAGACACAACGATATATTCATATAACACACACATTGGTGCTTCCTCAGGCAACAGTTAAGTGACTGTTCCAGAAATTCAGTGACATCAGTCAACTGAACTTTTACTTCTTGGTAATGACCAGCAGTGAAATACCAATGTAAATGCAGGCACAGGAGACAGACAAAACAAGTTTAACACCAGGAGCACACCTTACCTTGCCAAAATGCTTAAGAACACTGTTGGTTGCAGCTTCATGAGAGCTTCTATCAGTCAAGTCCAGACGCAGAACAAGGATATCTTTTTCACCCAAGTTGCTAATCTCTAAAAACAACCATAAAGTGAATGGGAACCAGTGGGATTGCTGACAACGATCATAGGAAATGTAACCTCTTTTAAACACCACGTGTTCACTAAAAAGACACCAAGAAACCGTTAACATGAGGTTGGAAATAAAACGCTTCTTTTGCTTTCATTCTGATTTCCACACAGAATCCCTTTTTGGCCTGTGCAGACCAAGTCATCCTTTTCTCATCATCATGCTTTCACTTCAAAAGCTTGACTCGGAGGTTTGTGTAGCACAATATGAACAACTCAATTCCTGAAATTAATTGCAGTAGTTGCAAGTTAACAGGCACCAGGTTTATTTGATGCTGTAATTTTTCACTGAGCCAGTCAGAAGCACAGCACGCTGGCAGCCTTCACACTACACTTGCATGTTACCTGGTCAGGCATCTTTATTCCTGAAAACAGGACTAGTACAATTTAGACCCAAAACACAATATACATGCACGAGTAGCTACAAAGCAAAGTCTAGAGAAGCTAGATTACTGGAGGATTACTGGGGAAGGTTTTTGTTTAACTGACAGCTTTTAATACATCCATCTCCTGAAATACAAGTCAGTTGTCATCAAGTTCAAGCCTTCACGCTGAGTGTTCCTACCACTGTCTCTTCACAGTAACAGACCTTTTCCACAGAAAAGTATTTCTTGATCAGTGCAAATCGCTACCCTGAGATTTCAGGGAAGATGACTCACAAAAATAAAATCCTTAATGCTAATCTTTTCAGTTTGGGGTTTTTTTAACTACATATAACAACTGGGTTTTTAAAATGTATTTATGTTAGTTTGATAGTGCTACTTTTGTTTCTAAATTGATTCCTAGTCACAACTAAGCGTGCCCACTCCCCTTTAACCAGCTGCCCTCTTTAGGGGGAGCAAAGGCTCTGATTTTTTAATTACCGCTTCTTGCATATACCGCTAAGGTTGAACTTTGTCTTTGCAGTGCCGTACAAATAAGGAGGTTACTCAAGTTCCTAAATTGTCTTTGTTCAAAAGTCACAGTACTGTTCAGACTACTGGTTAAAATAAATCCGTTTGTCTGGTTTAAAGCTACCAGTATTTCCATTTATTGCTCCCCCTAACTCCTCCATTTCTTCCATAAAGACAGCAGTAAAATCTATGTAGTTTAAACCGCCCTCTCGGAAACACGCTCTACCTCATGCTCCCTCTGGCAGATTTGCACAGTTGAAGCTTACTGAGACGTGGAGTGGTTCTGCCATGGATCAACAAGACCACATGGTCAACCCAGCCAAGAAAGCTACAGGGAAGGAAAGAAAAAAAGCAGCAGAAGAGACACAAACTGCTGATAAGGAGAGAAGCGGTTATTTATATGACGTAACAAACTTTTGCCTCCAGGAAGTACCAAACCAGAGGTCTAGTTCTTGTTTTGGAGACCTGTCTGAATTCCACTCTCCAAAGCACTAAGACCATACACTCTTCCCAGCCTCCTTATTTATTTTCTAGGGTGAGAAATTCTTGCCTAGAGACTCCTCAGACAGCCTTTTTACAAAGTTTCAAACACTCTTGTCACCCTTTTCTATCCTCCTACTGTCCACCCATCCCCTTATTTTTCCAATAGAGGACCAGAACTGTGCACAGCGTTGAAGACATGTACACATCCCAATTTACACATTGTCAGAATGATGCTCTCCTTTTCTTTTATTAACAACCCCTAATATTCCACTTCTTTTTTTTTTGCCTGCCACCAAACTGATGTCTTTTAAGGGAACAATTACGACAACCTAGAAGAACACAAGCTCCCAAGTGGGAGACCTTTTACACAACAGCTAATACGCATTAGTTCACATCCTTTAGCAAAGTGTCTCCAAAGTGAATCGCACATGGCCACCAGCATTGAGATGCAACATTTTTGTTCTATTCAAACTGTTCTATCTAATTCTATGATTCTATATCTGAAACCAAGCGCTCAAAGCTCAGCCTACCCAGAGCAAAGGCTGCTTTCACAGAGATGTCTGTGTTTTCCAGAGGTCCTTTAAAGTGTCCTTATATGCAGCGTCTCGCTACATGGCTTCTGGTTGGGATCAAACTGCCCAACCACCAAGCAGCAGGTCTTCTGACTGAAATTCTCCTATGAAGCAATCGTGTGCTGCCTCTTCCTTGTTGATGGTCATTAAGTTCTAGTTACCTTTTAACTAAAACGTGATTACAATCACACAAGGCCAACTTGGTTTTTGCAAGACAGCTGCACAGGTAATGGGGATTTAAAATAATGTTTTATTACAACATCAAGTGTACACCTGTTCACCAAGAGTCCCCCGGGGCATTTCAGAACAACGACTCCTTTCAGTACAGTTTAATCCAAAACAGTAGTTTCTCCAAACACAATAAATGCTGTCACTCAGCACAGACCCTCTACTTCCCAGCTCTCTGGCACTTCCTCTTCTATGTTCTACTTCTATCATATATAAAGCCCTTTAACAGAACAGGTGCTTTCAGCAGAGGCTGAACAACGTGACCTCCAGAGGTCCATTCCAACCTCAATTACAGTACAATTCCATAATTTATAGATTGTCATTCATTTGGCCTACCTAAATTTAAGCCATATTTGAGCACTGTCAAACCAAGAAGCACAGCCCCCATCCACTGTTTTTCTTCTTTGGGCTTGTGAGAGAAAACAGCCTCCAACATTACTGGTGAAGTCCAACTTGTGTTGGAGAGAGTAGCTGGGGGAAATACAGAAGCCACTTGCAGGAACCATATAAGTTATACAAGTTGTTTTCCCTCCCTCCCGCTGAGGGAGCTGGCACATGCATGACTCAACAGGTATTACCGTAGCTTTTATGCTACTTTCCTTCTCTCTGTCTCTCTCCTTCAGCTTCTAAGCTGCACAGAATGCATGAACATGTACACAGGGTGGTGTCTCTGAATTCTGAACATGATAAATGTGTTTGCTTCTGACATTAATACGAAAATTATCTAGTTAAGTTGCTGCTGTGTATAGCATCAGCAGCTGGCACGTTAAAGCTTATTAGCTCCAATTACACCACATAATTCGCCAAATTCAAGCTGATATTGCATGTCACAGCTTAATGCTAACCCATCCCATGCTACTCAAACCTTACAGAACACTCTCGAACTCAACTGCGAGAAGAAAACATGCAGGTGGCAGCAGGCAGAAGCCGCCCGGGAAGCACGTGCACCCCCTGCCCAAGCATGCAGGGATGGGATCAGGAAGATGAATGTTCAGACAGAGCTGGAACTGGTGAGGAACGTGAAAGGCAACAAGGGCTTCACAGGCAGAGCACCAACAATAGGAAAAGCAAAGACAGGGTGAGCTCACTGCTGAACAGGGATGGCAATGAAGTGACGAAGGGCACAGAAAAACGTGAGGTACCATTGCCTTCTTTGCCTTAGTCTTCACTGGCTAGATCTCCTCTCAGGTGTCCCACACTCCTGAGGCTAGACTCTGGGGGAAAGAAATACTACTGATGTCAGAGGAAGATCAAGTTAGGGATAAGCTGCAGATACAAGCAGGGCAATATAGACATCCAAGATTTACAAGAGCTGATTGATGCCCCTCATCTTCAGAAGGTACTTGGTTAAGTGGAGTAGCTCCTCTGCGAATGGAGAAAACCAAACGTCACACAACCCAACCTCAGTCTGGGGGAAGATCATGTGGTGGCTCCTCCTGAGAGCAATTTCCAAGCACATGAAGGTGACTTCAAAAAGCCAGCGTATTTTAGTGTGGACTGCCTGACCAGTTTAATTGCTTTTTGTGACGAGATCACTGGCTTTGTGGACCAGGGGAGAGCAGCGACATCGTTTACCTTGACTCTATAGCTTTCTATGTTATCTACCACAGCATCCTTGAAGCTATAAAAGGGAAATATGAGGTGTCTAGATGAACAGGTTGCAATGCAAGTGAAAAACAGAATGGATCACTGGGCCCAAAGAACGGCAACCAACTATTCAGAGTTTAACTGGTGTAAGTGGTATCCCTCCATGACCAGTATGTTTTAATATCTTCATTAGTGACTCGAATGATGGGACAAAACACAGGTTTTCAGCAAACTTTCAGTTATCATCAAGCTCAAAGGAACAGCTGCTATGCTGGAGGGGAGGATTGACATTGGCATCTTAACGAGCTGCGAGAACGATCTGATAAACTTCATGAAGCTCAAAGTCAAATGTAAAATTTCACATCTGGGACAGAGTTAAGACCATGCAGTAACTGCCAGCCAACATCCACATGGCTACGTACCAGCTCTCCAAACAAGGCCTGAGGTCCTGCTGGAAGGACAAAAGCAAGTGGAATGTTAAGTCACCGGCAATTAGGAATGTTGGTGGGCTGCGCTTGCAAGAGCTGACTGAGTGAAGTAAGTGAAGCACATCGCACTTCTGTACAAGTGCTGCCAGAAAACAGTTATACAAGACTGCAGCTCCTACCAGCCTAGCTGGCTTTATCAGTTTTGCAATGATCACCAATGGCCACAGACACAAATGCAGTTGCATACTTTTACTGACCACTAAACATTGCGCCATATAGCATTGGAATTTTGCCATGATTACCACTTAGCCAGGCTGTCACGTTATAGCCCTTGCTTCCTTTGAAGATACCTATTGGAGCAACTGCTTTTTTAAAGCATCAGATAATAAGTTGTCCATTTTTGAGGCTCCTTGGCAGATTTTCATAGTAGCCCACTGCAACTTTTAGATTTCTAGCAACATTTAGAGGCTCATCCAAGACAAACATTTCATTATTCACCAGCGTTCATTCCAAGTAAACTGTGGACATTCTGTCAATATTTACTAGGAATGAACTGTCAGTGTCATAATACACTCAGTATAAAGTATTGCATGCTCAGCTACAGAATATACATAGTCTGGAAAAGACACAGTTTTAATCACGGTCAAGTCTTCTGTTTATCAACATGAATTAACTGTGTATCCCACTCTGTGTGAAGACAGAAAACAGGAAAGAAAAAGGAAAACAGGAGGAATGAGGCCAGACTACTGACTCAGCAGGCATATGAAAGGTAAATGGAATAAACACTCCCCTTCGCATTTATTCCTCTCGATCTAGAGGAGATCCTCACTCTTGCATTTGCTCAGGACAACTCTTTCTGAACGTTTCTATTCCTTTCCCAAAAGAGAAAAGTCAGTTGTCAGTCTGCCTGTAACATGCACAAACCTGAAGGAAGACTTCTTAACAGCATGTGTCTACATGGTTTGCTTCCTAACAGGATGATACCTTTCAGTCTGTTTGCTCCACTCCCCACGGTATTAATTCCTTTTCTTCATCTAGCACCTTACAAAACCGCTTGCAACTGACAATGATTTTTAGGTAACACTGGCTTATGAAGAAACTCGCAATGTGAATCTATACAAATGCATCTCAAAAAAAAAAAAGACAATGCCAGCTTCAAACGTACAGTGAGGCTATGCATAAAGTTTACTTTCATGATAAAATTTATTCCTGAGATGTGTGGGTTAGTGGAACTGCTCACATGAAGTAGTAAGTTGTACTTACGAAGGCATTTCTTTTTCACTCTTTCATCTTCTTGCCGAGATGGCAAGCAGGGCTCCTATCTTTGAGAGCTGGTAAGTCAATTCTTCTCCAATTCCACTTGAGGCTCCTGTCACCCAGACAACCTTGCCACGCAGTTCATTTTCTACAAAAAGAATCAAGACAGTAGTTCACATATTGCTGATGCTAGGATGACCATTTAAGTTGCTACCTGGGTATAGCCTGATACTGAAATGTGCTCACATTTTTTGGCTATTACAAAATCCTGACTTCTTCATTTTTTTGGTCACATGCAGTTGTGAAATCGTTCATAGCTGTTCTGTTGCCATTTGAACTTTGTTCCAAGGCTAATTTGAGTAAACATTGATTATCTACCTGATGGAAGAAATCTGATTGCGTTTCTGCCAGCTGTCCACACATAGTGTTTCCACTAACCTCATCAAAAAGAGCTTCTGAGGAAAAAGGAGAAGCAAATTCCTGGAAATTACAGGAAACAGTTACTATATTACAGATCAAAATGCAAGCCTAAGCAAACTCTTACAAATAATGTCCTACCTCAAAACTGTTACTAACCAATCGTTTGAGCCAGCAGCGTGCCCAGGTGGCCAAGAAGGCCAATGGCATCCTGGCCTGGATCAGGAATTGTGTCATCAGCAGGAGCAGGGAGGAGATCACACCCCTGTAATGCCGCTCCTCGAGTTCTGCGTCCAGTTTTGGGCCCCTCACTACAGGAGGGACCCTGAGGCGCTGGGGAGGGTACAGAGGCGGCTGCCAAGCTGGGAAAGGATTTGGAGCATGTGTCGTATGAGGAACGGCTGAGGGATCTGGGGATGTTCAGCCTGGAGAAGAGGAGACTGAGGGGAGACCTTATCGCTCTCTACAACTACTTGAAAGGTGGTTGTAGCAAGGCAGGGGTTGGTCTGTTCGCCCTAGTGGTGAATGATAGGACAAGGGGAAATAGCCTTAAGTTGTGCCAGAGGAGGTTCAGGTTGGATATCAGGAAGAATTTCTTTACTGAGAGGGTTGTCAGGCCTTGGAACAGACTGCCCAGGGAGGTGGCTGAGTCGCCGTCCCTGGAGGTGTTTAAGAGAGGGGTAGATGTTGTGCTGAGGGACATGGTTTAGTGGTGTTGGTAGGGCTAGGAAAAGGTTGGACCCGATGATCTTGAAGGTCTCCTCTCAGCAAAACTGTTTTGTGATTCTATGACAGATGAAAATTCTCTAAACAGAGACAACTAATAACACACCAAACGGTGTTTGTCCAATCTGATTCGTATCTGATGCAGGTTAATTCCTGCACTGGCCAGACTACAGCACACAGAGTTCCCAAGGTGTCAGCTCACGTGTGAATTTCCTGTGTACTCACAGCTCCCGCCCAGGCACACCTTTATAACCTGCTGGAAAAACAACCGCATCTTACTCCTTTTCCTCCTCTGCTTATATGCCTGTTTCCCCTTTGCTCGCAAACCCTCCCTTTGCTCCTGGGTACTGCAAAAAGGCTCACCTTCCCAAACCCATATAATACATATCCAAAATCATCAAATACAACAGATGGATGAAAATGGCCCATTTCATTCTAGAATGTGATTTAGGGATGAGGGATCATTAACATCAGAGCAATTTCCAGAATGTGTCATTGCCTGACACTTGCACCTGTTCTTCAAGAGTGAGCATTAGTCTTGATGAAAGTCTGATTCAATACGCGAGAGCGCTGCCGACAGGAGTCCTTCCTTCTGCTTCTCGAGTTTGTACAGAAGAGTGTTCCAACAATATGTAGCCACCAAGAGAGATTTCACAGTATAATTTAGCAGAACCAAATAGCAGAACCAAATGCAGTTCCTGAGACTTAAGGCCAGTTCTAGTCCAAAAAAAAGGCCAGAACAGCATTTTTCATCTCAATGAAAATTACCTGCTCATTTAATTTAGTGAAAGTACTTCACTTTCACTATAGCCAGGAGCTGGGACTGCTTTTACTTCCTGCTTACTTCATTAATCAGTTCCTGGTTCTCTCTATACCACACTGCATTTCAAATTTCTGCTTTCAGAGTCTTCAAAGATATAAATCCTGTGAGGAGATCAACCCCAAAACCTTCTACCCTTCTGACAAGAGCAGGGAGCGCTCAAGACTGACTGTCAGAGCTCGGCTTGAGTTTGTGTGACTGGCAGTGAATATTATTACTCTTTTTCTGAGCTGACTTTATTTTAGCCAAAAATTCCCTTCTAAGACCAGTGTCTGGTGGCTTTAGGTTGTTTGGGTTTTTTTGTTTGGTTTTAAAAAAACACTATCGATAGCAACAACGCTCACTTTCCAAACCAGAGAGGTATTCTAAAGGAATGAACTTAGGAGGTGGAAAGTTGTAGGAATAACCACTATATTAATAATTATACTAAATATTAGCTGTCTGTAAAGCTTATTCACACTCTTTGCCTACAGTTTTATTCCAATGTTACCATTTCATTGAATTAACCACAAGACACATGGGGTTCATCTCTCCCATTGCTTTTTATTTTTTCTGGCAGAAAACCCGTGTAGACAAACACTACATGAACGAAACAACACATGGACATACTTTCAACCCTGCTTACCACACTCATCTCCTCTTGCTACTGAAAACAAATCCGCTTCCTCCTACCACCCAGTTTGCCTGTTCCCAACCCGTCTTGTGCCACTTCACTGCAGTTATTCAGGATCTTGTTCTGTGGACAGAATAATTAACTGAGATAAGGAAATTTTTGCAACAATTCCCCAGTGCTGACAGTTACGAAGCACTGAGCTACTGGGAGTTAACATAATGGAAAATCTAGCTCAAATTGTAGAATATGTGTGAAACTACCAGCTTGCTCTAGAGTAAACGTCCTGTTACTGGAAATAAATTTAAAAATTAAGCATGAGAAATTAAAAAAATAAAAGTAGATTGTGCTATGACAAATGGTTAACTACTGTGTTACAAGGCATAACAAAAGAGATGCTGAACAGAGTAGTATTGCAAATATTCCAAGAAGAGCTTTTGTAGCTCTGTTTAGGTTTTTTCCCTAACGTTCTGTAGCTCCTAGGTGCGGTGTCATTTCATTAATAAAAAAAAAATTGGAGTGGGGAGGTTTAAAACAGAACATCCTCCCCATAGGCCTAAAGAATCATAGCATTATGGCCAGCTTTAAGAGCGGACTCTCAGATACGTAGGGTTTTCTATGTAAAGGGATCCTCTTCAGCTTGATAATATCACACCGCCCGGGAAAAGCACCCCGTTTACAGTGACTGCTGCTCAGCTCATGAAACACAACACATAAGGAAAGTCACCCAGCATCCAGTAACCTTTGTCTCCAGACCACACAAATAGTTAGAAGATGGGAAGCGATCCAGCACCTGTCAGTCACAAAACCCAGAAGTGAATTCTCCCTGCAGAACTGAAACATTGAAATGGAACCAATCCTACCTATATTAAGGCCCTTCTTCATAATTACAGCTTACAGCATAAGAGGAAGAAAGTTATGAGACCAGTCTGCTTTCTCGTATTTCTATCTCCAAAAACTTGAACATCCATAATAATGTTGCAGAAGTGATAACACAATATAATAACCGCCAGAGTGACAGCTCTAATAGCAGCTTTAAATAAAAACTGAGGAGTTTTCCACGAGATGCACACGTTACTTATGTGCATGTAACATCATGTGCACAATACAGGGAAGAGGAAAAGCGAGAACGTATTTGAAGAAACATCTTTTCTAGTGTTTGTCCCTGCTGTTTTCCCACCTGAACAGCCAGGATCAGCACTGTGGCAGCACCATCCCACACATACGGGGCTGAACTATCAGCAAAATGCCACTTACACGCCATTGTTTCACCTACATATTTTAGTTAATTACAAGCACTGGCGCTGAGAGATAAAGGGGGAGTAAAACACAGCTCATTTCTTTGCAGAGCAAAGGAGTTTAAGTTGATAAAATCCTGCCTAGTTCTTCCTACATTACATATTGAAACGACTACGTCTGAAAATGACTGAAAATTCCTCTTTTTATGGGAACTCTTAGAGACTAGTTAAAAGGTTCCCAGGCTTCCAATAAGTCTGAAGGCTACATCCAAATTACACTATGTCTACCCAAGAGCTCCTACACCTTGATGTGTATTGCACAAATGTTCCTCAGGACTTCAGTTCTGTTTGTACTAGTCAAGATTCTCCTTGTCTCTGTCCAGAGTCTTTGCGTCAACTTTGCAAAGTCCACACACAAAGCTTTTTTGTAATTTTCTTGTAGTAAGAGAACTACCTGGTGGAGTTTCTGTAAAACTTTGGGCTGCGTATCCAAAGAGTCACAGAAGATTGCTCACACGTATTCGAATTCAGTATTTCTAAGATTTTTATTACTTGTGTGTGCTTTTCCATCCTCTTCTCCATTAGATGGACTAGCGCTTCTGCAGTAAGCTTTAATGCAAGCAGAAGACACAGATGTCTCAACAAGGTTTGTCCTACTCCTCTCTCAAGCCCTTGCTAAGGTCAACCTTCACCCGCGCCACTATCCCCTACCAAATCACGGTCTCAAGCCCCTACACCACCGTTCCCCAGAGTCACACATTCCCGATCCACCTTCATTCGACACAGCCCTATCTCCCCACCTCAGTCCATTTTCATTTCCCACATGGAATAGGTTTATGGTGTCCTTTGTCTCACCTTCATTGAGATCAACTTCCTTCCCGAACTTCCTTTCACCTCAACCACCCAGCACAGCTCACAGCAGCCCCAAGTCCCCCCAAATCGCCACTGCTGGCTAAGCCAAGGGGGTGGAATATTCAGAAATTTGTGGATTTTCTGGTCAAAAGTCTCTATTAAGCCAACAAAACCCATGATTTTTAAAGATCTTTGTCCTGAAGTAGGCAGAATTACAGTCAGATTAGAATGATAAACATCTGTAAGAACTGAAAAATCCTGCCTGATGGTATTTTACTGAACTTATGTAGCCACAGGTGCCAAAAGCAGCACCTTACAGTGCAGCTCCTTTATGCCTGTCCGGGTACAAGTCTTGGAAGAGGAAACCTGTTTGACCCGAACAGTAACACTTGAGTTCACTTCATCCTAAACTCTTGCAGCGCTCCTGCGGAAACAGGACCCGCTGGAAGATGCCACAAGGAACTCAAACAGAAGCTGAACGGGCT